AGTAACAAAATTGTGATGGAAGGTGGGGAGTAGGAAGAAGTATAAGGATACTAACACCCTCATTTCCCAAAATGAAGAATTAATAAATATGATCTAAATATCAATTCTAAATTTAATTGGAAATTGGAATTTTGGGTAAAGAAGGAAATATGTACAGTAGATGAAAACCCAAAAGTAAAACTCCTTGCCATTTAGACAGAACCAAGTCATAACTGACTCTCCACTAAGTTTCCAGAGACTGTAAATCAGACAGGATGATACTGAGCATCTTTCTCCCTTGGAGCAGCTGGTGGATTCCAACCACCCACCTTTAGGTTGGCAGTTCAACTCGCTACCCATTAGGCCAGTACAGAGCTCTGTAAGATAGATGAAGTTAAGTAAAAACTATGGTATCCTAAATTTAAATAAAACATGGTTAGGATGCATTCACAGTTTTCTCTCTCCCTCTGCCTACCACCCACCTCTCTTTTCCTCCTCCCCTCCCTCTCCCTCTTCCTCGCCTTCTCCCTTTCTCTTTCCCTTTCTCCTTCCTCCTCTCTCTTCACTCTTATATACATATAGATAAATACACACACATTCTCAACTTTGTCCATCAAAATCAAGCAAAAAATCTTTATGGTACATGGCTAACAGGAGGGCCTGGCTGCTGACCAAAAGATTCAGCAGTTCTAATTTGCCAGTAGCTGTGCAGGATAAAGTGAGGAGGATATGAAACACTTGTTGTGGAAGATCAAGGACTATAGCCTTTGATATAAATTATATCTCAATGTCAAGTAGACAAAGATCCTCATCAAAGGCCTACAGTCAGAATTATAGTAGGTGGAGTAAAGATTGAAACTGTCAATGATTTCAGCTTGTTTCAATCAATAATCAACAACTTTGGTAGCAGCAGTCAGGAGTCAAATCTGCTGTCAGGTTCTTCTCAAAAACACTGAAAAGCCACGATGTCACTTTGAAGTCTAAGGTGCACCTGATTCAAGCCATGGTCTTCCAATCACTTGCTATGCATCAGAGAGCTGGACAAGAAACAAGGATGATATAAGAAGAATTGATTCTTTTGAGTTGTGGTGTTGAAGAAGAGTGCTGAATATCCCATGGACTGTCGGTAGGACATATATTCTAGAAAGAGTGCAGCCAGAGTGCTCCTTGGAGGCAAGGCTGATGAAGCTGATTCTTTCATACCTTGACCATGTAGTTAGGCAAGACTATTCCTTAGAAAGAGACATCATGCTACAAAAGATGGAGGCTCAGTGAGGGAGAAAAAGACCTCCTAAGAGACGGCTTGATATTGTGACTTCAACAATGAGCTCTAGAGTCTCAGAGATGATGAGGATGGTATAGGATAGGGCAGGATTCAAGCTGGCTCTTCATAGGGTCACTGTGAGTCATACTCGACTTGATGGCATCTTACAACAACATGAAAGTTAAAGTTCATGGTGCACAACAACAACATGCAAGGTAAAAGGCCTAGTGATCCACTGTTGAAAGACTGTTTGTTGTTGCAAACCATCAAGTCAGAACTGACCCATAGCTGACCCTCCGGAGGAGATTGTCCATCCTTCCCTCTCTGAGTAGCTGATGGATTTGATCTGTGTGCCTTCAGGATCGCAGTGCAGCTTCTTACCACTAGGCCACCAGAGCTCACTCTTATAAGGATGTTGTTGTTGTTGTTGTTGTTGTTGTTGTTATATGCCGTCAAGTCATCTGTGACTCAGAGCGACCCTATGTACAATAGCCCTAAACTCTGCCCTAACCTGTGTCAATCTCACCATCTCCGACACGTCTACCCCCATTACCCCAGTCACTGAATCAACCTATCTCATTTAGGGTCTTCCTCTCCTGCGCTATCCCTCCACCCTCCCAAGCATGGCGTCCCTCTCCAAGGACTGGTCCCTCCTTGCAACATGTCCAAAGTATGTCAGATGAAGCTTCAGAATCCTTGCCTCCAAGGAACAGCCCAGCTTCAAACCTGTTCGTTTTCTTATCAGTCTATGGTATATTCAATGATCTTCTCCAGCATCACAGCTCAAAGGCATTAATTCTTCTTCTATCCTCCCTAGTCATTGTCCAGCTCTCTGATGCATAGCAAGTGATTACAAAGACCATGGCATGTATCAGGCACACCTTAGTCTCCAGACTGACATCATTGCACTTCAGTACTTTAGAGAGGTCTCTAACCACAGACTTTCCCATCACAATATGTCTTTTAATTTCCTGGCTGCTGGTGCCACGAGTGTTGACTGTGGAGCCAAGCAAACCAAAACTGTGAACAATCTCAATCTCTTCACTATCGATTATGATGCTGCCAATAGGCCCAAGAGTGAGAATCTTTGTTTTCTTGATATTGAGCCTCAAATCATACTGAAGACTGCAGTCCCCGACCTTCCACAGCAAGTGCTTCAGGTCCTCCTCAGTTTTAGCAAGCAGGGTTGTGCCATCTGCATAACGCAGATGGTTGATGATTCTTCCTCCAATTCTGGTGCCGTATTTCTCCTCATAGAGCCCAGCCTTCCAGATAATCTGTTCTAGCAGAATCTTATATGACAGTTGTAGTGGGACACATGGGGTCCATGAGTTAAGAACAAGGTTTACAATTACAGTAATCCCTTGAAACAATGAATCCAAAGAAGGAAGAACTCAATAACACTGTGCACCCATAACTCTCTCTAATAATCACATCTTATTAAAAAGAAACCAAGATTTGTTAAAGTCTGAGTCTATGCACGGGGCAGGAAATAGGACACTTAAATCTGGAACTGCTTATCATAATTAAAAAAAAAAAGAAGAAGAAGAAAGCCATCAAAGCAAATCAGTGTCTATCAAAAGTCTCTGGAGTCAAAAGGAACGTCAGGAAAGGGCGCCTCCCTTGGCAGCAGACAGAATAAGGTAGATGGCAACTGGGGTGAAGAGAAGCCTACAAATTGTACTACCTGGATGATTGAGTCTACTTTTACATGTTTGCAGTTTTCTATACACAAAAACAAATTACTACACAATGTATTCCATTGTGAGGCTGTTGTTGTTATGCACCTTCAAATTAAAATCATCTTCACTGACCCTCCAGGGGGGTTTCAGAGGTGGTTAATCCCATGGAAGGAGAAAGCCCATCATTATCCTGAGGAGCAGTTGGTGCATTCAAACTGTAGGCCTTTGAGTTGGCGCCACAAATGGGAGAAATGCAAAAGCATTTCAAAATGCAGGTTTATGTAAGAAACAACAACATATGTAAGAGCGAAAACATTACAATTTAACCAGCTGCAAAAACCATAACACCACCATATCCTTTACTCACAATCATGAAAAAAGCAGAAGTAACTGGAAAAGCACAATGTTTACTATTTAAAGGGTAGAAGGCAATTCTACTCAAGATACAACATCATTTCATTCATTTACAGGAAGAAATGTGTTGGAAAGAAATGTGGGGCCCATGGAAAGCTTCTGTTTAGGACTGACGTTATTTGTCTAATGGTTTCATGTTGCTAATGGCTGCCTTCGTTAGCATCTTCACTGTACTCACAGGAGAAATCCAGGAATCATGTGAGTTCAGGAAGGATCCTGTACAATGAATTCCTGGTTTCCTAGTCTATAGCCAAAAAGGGAACAGAAAGGTACTCTCCTAAAGCCAACTTGTGGTCAGAAAGGAAGCTGAGCGGGCTTGGTGGCGGGGACAAGCTAGAAAGGCCTTTAAACAAAAGAAAGTTCTGTGTGCAATACCACGTTTAAATCCCCCTTTCTCCAAATGTAAAATAAATAAATCTGCTTCCATCGCCTGAAATCCTCCAGGAGTGGAAATGCACTTGTCATGCTGATGACGGCAGAGTCCTAACTGGTTTCGGCGTGAGAGGTATCTCAGGAACACTAACACACTGCGCAGACCAAAATTAAAAATAAAAATGTTGCAAAGTCGCTTGTCCCTCAAATAAGGTTCCTTTCTTAGCTTGATTTCTAACGATGTTATTTGGTCATTCTTGAAAGTACAACTTCTAGCGTCTTCAGGGACAGAAAAGTTGCCTAAGTCCGAGGAATGAGTCACTCTGCTGGATTTGGATGAGTAATATCAGGTGTCATGGGACCCCGTTGTGCAGGGGGAGAGGGCAGGGGGCATTCGAGGCGCACACGGAAGGACCAAGGCAGCCCGGGATTGGATGGTGAGACCACGACTTTGCTAAAACTGCGTCATTTCCAACCCAATTGGGTCCAGATCTTATGGGCACCGATGGGTTACCGTCTCGGAAACTCTCGATCAGACGCAAGCGAAAAGGCGAGGAGGCGGCTAATTAAATATTGAGCAGAAAGTCGCGTGGGGAGCGTGTCACGTGGGTCGTGAGGTTCGTCGAGCCTGCGATAAATAGCGCGCGGCCCCGACCTGGCAAAAGAGCGCGCTCGGACTTCCCCTCCTGCTCCGCCGGCCGCTGAGAGCGCAGCGCGCACCGCCAGGCAGCCGCCCGAGGAGCCCGCCGGCCGGCCCCGCGGTGAGTGTCCGCGCCCCGCGGTGAGTGTCCGCGCCCCGCGGTGAGTGTCCGCTCTCCGCACGTGTGCAGGGGGCCCCTCCGCGCTGCGCTCCGAGGGGACGGGAGACCCGAGAGCACACCGCTCTGTGCGCGCCCAGGGGACGCGGGACGGAAGAGCCCGGCTTCCCAAACCCAAGGACGACTCTGTCTCCACCCTCAGGGACCCCTGGTCCGACAGTGCAGGTAGAGGGCGGAGACGAGTTAGGATCCGAGACAGAGGGATCTGAACGTCCTTTAGGCGATTCTCAATCTTAAAGAGGAGAAATGATAGTTCTGTGGGTTTTGTCTTTGTTTAACGAGCCCGGATTGCATTGTGCAGCTGAGAATTCTGATGTCCCAACTCTTGGATAGCCTTTCTTATTCATTCATATTCTTGTGTTCTCACTCTCCCCTCTCTCTCCTCATTTCTCTTTCTGTGTGTGTATGCATGGGTGTGTGTTTGCGCGTGCATATCCTGTGTCTTCTCCCTTCTCTTCCCAGAAATCAAACATGAAAATCCTCGTGGCCGTGGCAGTCTTTTTTCTTGTCTCCACTCAACTGCTTGCAGAAGAAATCGGAGCCAGCAATGATCTGAATTATTGGTCTGACTGGTCTGACAGCGACCAGATCAAGGTGAGAACCTGTCGACCAGGGCTCGGAGTGCTCGCTCTGCTTTTAACAGGACTCGGGGTCTTAGGAAGTGTGTAAGGTGGTGCTAGCCTGGACGGGGGTCCCATACAGGATTTTGCATTGCAGAGTCCAGGTTTCCCTGCATCATCGAATCTGGGGAACTCTGAAGGAAAGATGCCCGTTCTAATGAGATTGGAGTCCTCACAGGGCCAGATCTAGAGTGAGGTGTCTGGGGACTGCGCATTTGGAGAGTCAGTGGGAGCTAAGGAGTTGCAGCAGCGTTAGTACAAGCAGAATGCAGAGCAACACTGAGTGAGGGGAGGGAGACTTAGAGGGGTTGATCAAAAAGGCAAAGTCCGTGTCCAGAACTCATACCCATCCATAGCCAAAGTAGAGCTGGCCCATAGAGTTTCCAAGGCTGTAAATATTTAAGAGAGCAGACTGCCCCCGCTTTTTCCTGTGGAGCAAGTAGTGAGTGCTCCATCTTGGGTGATTGCGCCACCCATGGGTGGTAAGCTAACTTCTGCCCAGATCATTATCTGATAAACCTGAGAGAACATAGGCACAAATTTCACTATTCACGCTCTCCAGCTCTCCTGTCACTGATGAGTGTGCAAAGCGGTGCGACTCAGGGCCCTCTTAAAGCCTTGTCTCCACTGTCCTATCCCACCTCCACCACTCCCACCCCCACAATCCACTCCTGTGTGAATCTAGGGCCATGGGGCTCTCCAAAACTGGGGCTAGAAGTGGTTGTGGCTACGAAAGGAGCTGAGGGGAAAACAGCTGAAAATGATCAAGAACTGAAAGGGACTAGGTTTCTCCTGCTAACGCGCAGGGGAGAACTTTGGGGAGAATGACCGGAGATTGCACAGAGGGTCAGAGGAGGGATGAGCCAGACAGACCCAACTAAGCCCAGAGGTGGGAAAAGCCCGGTTCCTCTCACCTTTCCTTGGAGTTCCTTGCCCCAGCCTGACTAGTCATTGCCACAACAGAGAAGGCTTGGGCAGCCCAGGGTTGGAGCTCACCTTGAGAAAGACTTGGTTTGCCAGGTGCATCCCTCTGCTTACACTTCGGTTTACACATGCATGTGTCCCCTTAGGAGGAGCTCCCCGAGCCCTTTGAGCACCTTCTGCAGAGAATCGCCCGGAGACCCAAGCCACAGCAGTTCTTCGGATTAATGGGCAAACGGGATGCTGGTGAGATGGGCAACCTATCCCTCTGTCTCTCTGGGCAGCCGCCCTTCCTGCTCACTGGCTCCCTGAGCTCCCAGACTCTCTTGCACTTTGAGGAGAGGTACCCACCCTAGGGAGGGATGAAATGTCCTGGGAGTGTCTCTAGCCAGCACCTTTATAATACACACACAGGCCCCCTTAGGGAGGTAGAGACAAGCCCCATTTCTGACAATATTATAGCAAACTCTTCAAGAAGGGGACCCATACTTCTTCCTTGACCCAAAACTGATAAATATCCCAAACTGATGAAGAGGAAGGAGAAAGAAAATGTCATTCTAAATGCACGTGAAATTTCCAGATGATTTTAGAATATTCCCCAAAGTTAGATCAGACCTGGATCTCGGATATATCATACAGGAATACTATTTCCCTAAATTCCTCAAACTCACAGTGTGACATGTGAAAATAGTTAATATCAATTCATCTCTTGTCAGATTCCTCAATTGAAAAACAAGTGGCCCTGTTAAAGGCGCTTTATGGTAAACATTCCTATCCGTTTTTATTTTAGTATTATGAATTTAAGCCAGGAAAGGGAAGAAAATATTTTTCTAAGCTGAAATAACACATCTTAATTCTGCCTGTTTAATGAAGAACTGACTTTGCATATGTTGCTGTTGGTCAGATGGGCAGCTGGTGTTGGAGATGTGTTTCTGTAAAGCAACAAGGAGGTGGTAAATCTAACAGGCAAACCTGGAATCCTTACAGTCTTGAGTTTGAATTTGTGGCTTCTAGAAAGCACTTAATACGTACTTCTTCGGCTTGTTAAAATACATGGATTTTTTTTAATTAGTAATTTGATTAGTATTTATAATTCAGCTATATCTCTTAGGATAATATGTAAGAGGAAAAGGCCATGTATCTTAAAATCAGTTTATTTCATAATTCTTTTTGAGAGATACACTGCATGCAGTTTCTTTACAATTAAATCTGTAGGTAGTTGCTAATTTTCTTTTTCATTCTTTTAGGACATGGCCAGATTTCGCATAAAAGTAAGTTCATAATTTTGACATTGATCAAATGCAAATATAACTTAGAATGAAGTCTACTTCTGCTGTAATAACTTATAATTGAGACAGTAAAAGAATGGAGGAGACAGATCTTACATTCAGAATATAATTGCTTAAAGCCCTTCCATTTAGTCATTTTATTTCCCAAAATAATTTCTTATGTTAGAACTAAACCCCAAGCCCCAAAGAAGCTGCTGTTAGATTCTTTACGCATAGAAACAGTAAAAGAAAATGTATGCTGTTTCTTTATGAAGCTGAAAAAAAGTGTTTACAGACATCTTCTAGTTCCCTTTAATATATAGAATTCTATAATGACATTATTTATTATACTAATCCAGCAGCCAAGTAAGTGAAATAGCTGAATATTTGAGTAAACAAATAATAATAAAGATAAAAATGGGGTAGAAATGCAGTATTTCTATAATCATTTGGGAAACTGTGAATCTAACAGCATGCATTGAAACATTGGGGCATTAAGAAAGCAGACTTGTGGTCATTAGATCCCAATTTCCCAGTTAATGATACCAGATTTAGCTGGACGTCTCGAAAATCCATTGTTATATTGTCCACTCACTCATCATGTCTTGGACTTGGGCTGACTCGGTAGCAAAGTGTGTCACACACAGTAAGAGAGCAGCCCTAAGCCACAACCTCGTCCATTCATACATGCTCTTTTTGAGATTTTTTTTTTTCCCATATAAATGCAGATAAGGAGGTTTCTGGCTTCCCGGTGTAGGGTGATAGGCCAGAGGCTGTGGCTGGTGTAGGAATGGGCACCACCTGGGACCTTGGCCTCTGGTTGCCAGGCAACAGCAAGCAATGCCAGTAAGGTGTGCTGCTGTTAATAAATGGACCCAATGATTTTTGTGTATTTGTTTTGAACTAAAGTTTCTATGATATAGCAATAAAATTCTCTCAGCCAGAAAAATATATAGGAGCCCTATATTCTCAGCTAATACAGTGTAAACTAAGAGAAATTATTTCCTGAGTTAAAATGATAACTGGTTTCAAAGGCTCTTTGAAAATAAGTGAGACGTGTATTTATTTGCCAAAGATTTGACTTTCAAGGAAACCATAGGTAATATAGTCTAAAAAATAAAAATGTGGACCATTAGTGCTAAAACTAACAAAAGGAATACTAAAATAAGATGACAACATGACCTTTTAAAAATGTCCAATAATCAAATATAGGAATTTGACTTAAGAATCATTTGCTTAGAAATACAACCTATCTAAATTTCCAAAAAGAAAATAAATGTGGATATTACTGTATTACAAAAAAATTGTGAAAAAACCTAAAAATCAAAGTTCAAATATCAAAAATTCTTAAAGTTTTATATGACAAATGCATATATAAAATGAACGAAGAGAACTTGGAAAGTGCTTTTATTCTATTGTTTATTGTCTTGTATACGACTTAGAAGGAAGTTTCATTCTTCAAGCTCTTCAAAGCTTTATGTACTTATGATATAGACATATATTCAGAGGTTTACTTTTTATTGTACTAGCTATAATAGTTACCTTCTTAAACAACATAAATTTTAAAATACCCCTAAATGTATTTTCCAGGGTATAAAACAGATTCCTTTGTTGGACTAATGGGCAAAAGAGCTTTAAATTCTGGTATGTATAAATCATGACTGAAAACAGATAGTCTCTTAAACCTCTGTCTATTACTTTCTCTCTAAGGCACAGTTCTCAAATATTAAAAAGGGATAATAGCTTTTAAGTGAGTATTTATTGTAGGAAAAAAACCTGACTGCAATACTTTTAATGAAGAATAAGGTGAAACTAGATTAATATCACTGTAATATCAGTCTCTCTCTAACCCTTAGTCTTACCAGTGTCTTCCTTATTTCTTCATTTACTAACTTGAATCTTCAGGATAGGCTTTGCTTGAAATCTATTAAGTAAGTCACATTTAACCTTATTGAATTTAAGGAGAGAGATTTTTAAAAAAGAGAGACTAATCTTCACTTGTTAGGAGAGTATTTTGAAAGTACTGCAAGATGTCATGTCAGATGATTTTCCAATAAGTAAACAATAAATGTATATAAATTGTTTGCTCTTCGTAGAGGTACAGAGGTTAAAAATCTAAATGTCTTAATGGGTATTTGAAAGTATATATTCCTGTGCCTTCAAAAAGGAAAAAGTCATCCAAGAGTGTTACAAATGGTACCTGGTTATAAAATCTTTAAAGAGACATCACAATCCTACTTGTAAGCATTTTAATTCTAAACTCTTATTTAAAAATAAAAGCTACCAAAAAAACCCAGGCTGCTCCTTGGAGGCAAGGATTCTGGGGCTTCACCTAACATTCTTTGGACATGTTGTAAGGAGAGACAGGTCTTTGGAGAGGGACATCATGCTAGGTAAAGTGGAGGGACAGTGCAGGAGGGGAAGACCCTCTATGAGGTGGATTGATTCAGTGACTGGGGTAATCGGGATGGGTGTGTTGGAGGCAATGAGAATAGCACAGGATAGAGCACGGTTTAGGGCTGTTGTACATAGGGTCGCTATGAATTGCAAACGACTCGACGGCACATAACAACAACAACAACCAAAAAAAATAAATAAAAGCTACATATTTCCCTTCTGTTTCATTTCCACCTTCTCTGTAAGTGCATAAGAAAACCCTTATTTCTGGCTTCATATTGTTATCAATATTGTTTATCATTTTGTTTTCAAGATTAGGTAACTCTTGTATCTTTTTCAGAGATAGTACTTGAATCCTTCTAATCTCTTGCCATATACTGCATTGTAAAATTAATCATAATTGTAAAATTGTACTTAACTAAATATTTCTCCTCAACAAACAGCACAATTTAGTAAATGAGTTGCTAAAGCCAATTGACATATAGGGCCACTGTTGTAAAACGGGACTGACATCAGGGTTGAGGGAAGACAGAAAAGGAGGGGAGGAATGATGTATATTGCATTGAAACAGGTAAGAGAGAGAACTGTTTAAAAGGGATATATGAATGGGTATTCTTGTCATGACAGGAGTCCAGAGAGAGGCTACATAGTGGAGTGGGCTTGTAGGGGGAGGAAGTTTTTCTTTCTCTTCAAGGAGAAGAGTGTACTGGGTGGGTGGGGGTGGGTAGGGAGAAAAGTACAACAATGAATGACTGGAAACCCTAAGTCTCTGTAAATTTTCATTAAAATTAATTAAACACACAAACACACACAAAGAATTGAGGCAACCCTGATATTGAAAGCTTCTAGATCTCATGAGCTGGATAATTTAGGAAACCTTTTGGAAACGTAATTATTTGCATAACCTCTTGGTCTTGCTATAATTGTAAAGAGATAGTCTAATACGAATGACCAATGCAAGGCCTCTGAAATTTTTTTAAAAACCTGCCAGTGGGAAAAAATCCTCAATTTTGAATAAATCTCACTAAGGGAAAGGTGATGGTATTGGTTGTTATGTACCCTCAGGTAGGAACCAACCCATACCTGACCCTCCAGCAGGTTTTCAGAGGCTTTTGATTGCACAAGAAGAGAAAGCTAAATTGATTATGCATTCTTCTCACTATTTGACCCATACATCTGCCTTCTAATATTAAGCAAATGATATACAGTCATTGGATTATCATTCCCTCATAGAGTGCAGTGTCAACACTACTTCAGTTGGTTCTTATATCACTTTAAAAAAAAAGGTTTATTAAGGCAATAAGATAGAGGCATAGCTAGTGAAAGGTGGGCCATGTAAAAGAGTTAAGGTGAAAAAAGAAAGAGGGAAGGGGGGAGGGGAGCCAGGGGTGAAACCAGACCCTAGAGCATTCTGTCAGTAGGAAAGGAGATAAAGAGAGCGAGTCCCCAGTGGGCACTGCTTTTATTGACCCCCAATCTCATACTATTTTAATTTCATGACTGCTACCACCATGTATGTTGATTGTGGGTCCAAGTAAAGTGAAATCGTTGACAATTCCTATCTTTTCTCTAACTATAATGATATTGCCTATTGGTCCATTGGTGAAGAATTTTGTTTTGATGTTGAGATGTAATCTGTATTGAAGCCTATAGTCTTTAATGCATCAGTTGATTCAAGTCCTCTTCACTTTCAGAAAGCAGTGCTTGATGAGTCTTCTAATCTTGATGCCATGTTCTTCGTATAGTCCAGCTTCTTAAATGATTTGCTCAACATACAGACTGGATAGGTGCAGAGAAAGGATACAGTTCCAACACACCATTCCTGACTTTAGACTTTGCAATGTTTCCTGGCTCTGTTTTTTGCATAGGTTCTTGATTTTTGTATAGGTTTCTCATGAGCACAATTAAATGTCCTGGGATTCACATTCTTTTCAATATTAGCCATAAATTGTTATGACACACATATCCAAATGCCTTTGCATAGTCAATAAAATACAAGTAAACTTTCTGCTATTCTCTGCTATCAGCAAGATCCATTCAGTAAGTATAGGCCTCTGTGCCACAGCTTCTCCTGTTACAACTTAAGTTTCTGCCAGTTGTGGGTTGAAATACTACCGCAGCTGTTGTTTAATATTCTTCAGCAAGATTTTACTTGCATGTAATAATTAATTATATTGTTCTGTCCTTTTTGGAGAATGTGAACAAATATGGATCTCTTCGAGTCAGTTAATTGGCCAAGTAGCAGTATTCCAAATTTCTTGACATAGTGTTCATGTCCAGAACTGTCTCTGTTTATTGAAACATTTCAGTTGTATTCCGTCAATTCCTAGGGCTTTTTTTTTTTTTTTTTGCCAATTTCCTCAGTGTAGCTTGAACTTCTTCCTTTATCTTCCTTTATGGTTTTTTATCATAAGGTACTTCCTGATAATGATTCAGTGTCTTATCAGTTATTTTTGGTACAGTAAAGCTGTGTATCCTTCCACTTCTTTTTTAAAAATTATTTTTGTTTTATATTGGTTTTCTTATACATTGTGTTTCACACTATCCTTCATTCACGTATTTCATACAATCATTCCCATTCATTATAATTATAAAATTAATTAATATTGAACTATGTCCACAATGCCCAGTCTTTCCAGATCCTTGCCAGATTTTTCCCATTTGTTTTACCCACACCTCCCTCCCTCCATCCATTCAATTGCTTCCTCCTTTTAGTGCTTCCTGCATCATTCATGATTTTGCAGATACAGTCCTTCAGTGTTGAAAGTCTTCAATTTCTTCTTCAATTCTTTCTACTTGAGAAATGCTAAAATGTGTGAAAACCTTTTTTATTTTTTTTCAACTCCAGCACTGTGCACATTTTGTTATGATACTTTGTCTCCTTTTCTAAAATTTTATTTTTTTGTATATTTTTTTATTTAAGTCACTTTTTGAACTTTAACACTCTTCCATTTTATCCTCAGAATATCACAAGGTTTCTTTTATTCAAAGATGTTACATTTTTATAGTTTTTGTCAAGCACATTTGAGACTTAGAACCCCTATTCAGATTCCTTAAGAAAGCTTTTGAAATTTTCTTTATTTTACCATCAATGGTATAAAATTTAAAAGGGTGGTAAATGATTAATTATAACTAAAGTTATGGGTAAAAATGTATGTAAATTATTGACAAACCAATATGATTTGTAAACTTTCACTCAAATGAAAAACTAAATAAAAGTGTAGTACAAGACTTATTACATAAGGCAAGGGGAAAGAAAGTAATCAGCAGCTCTCTAACTCATTTAAAATCTTTCTGATTCCTAAAGAGTCTATAGCTAAAATGTGTTGGCTTAGTGCTTAATTATCCAGAAAATTTATGCCAAGAAAAAAAATTATGAATCTGATTTTTTATACTGTTTCTCCACTTTACACATTCATACTTCTTCTACAGTAATTTTGAGACTTATAAAATTTAAATTTTAAAGAAGTTACCCCAGTGTGATTAATTAAAAACCTTAAAACTGCTTTGCTAATCCATATAATTTCAGCTTTTGGAAATGGAATATGAGTTTAAGCAACACTGGTTTTTATTTGTATCACAAGTAGCCATTAGACCTTATACAACCGGTTTTCTTCGTAATCATATTCATCAAACCATTTTGAGAGTTGATGCAAGTTTTAGAATTTGCTTAACTTTACAAATAATATGGTGTGTGTCACTTAGGTCCAATTAAATGCTATTAAATATATTAAAGTAATAATATAACTATAGGTAGTAATAAATAGAAGCATAGCACTTAATCAGAATCACTTTATAATTTTTGTTCCTTCATTTTAGTTAAGAAAATATAAAAGGAGAAAACAGGTAAACAGCATAACTCTTAGTCAAATAGAATCTTTTTACAAACCAATAGAGCCATCATAAAGTGATTCTATGGCTATCTAATTTTTACCCTTTTGTAGTTACATACTCCTTTAACAAACTGATGAAACGAAACTATTTTCTTCCTGGAGAAATTCTTGTCAGCTAAAACACACAAAAGTTTACTTATGGTTTCAGAGGGTTTGAAGGATCAAGTGAGAACCTTTTATTGCATGCATTCTTTCATTCATAGGTAAACCATTTTTATACTGATGTTTTGTTAAGCACATTTGAGTCTTATAGCCCTTAGCTCAGATTCCTCAGGAAAGTTATTAAATTTCATTATTATATATTATATATTCTGAGCTAGTTTACACTAGCTTTCACTCCACTTCTCTGATGAACAGAATCTTGTAACTGTGCCAGGAACTGAACTTGAGCTTGGCATCTTTCTCCTAGTATAAACAAACTATCAGGATGAAAAATGATCTTTCTGTTCCTCAGACCTGTCCAATTTGGAACTCAGACATTTCCACTTCATAAGTGCTTAAATGATTGACACGAAACAGTTATTTTATTGTTAATGTAACCTAAGGGAAAATAATATGTTAAAGATTATCTGCTCCAGATTAAAATGGGGAAATGGTAGTAGCACTGTCTTCTCTCTTTCAATAAATCCTTCTCAATGGAGGAAGCCCTCAAGGGATCTCCATTATTTCTACATATTTTCACAGATCTCTCTAGCTTCTTCACAAACTGGGTATTTTTAAATATATCACACTGATTTTTCTTAAAAGCACAGTAGTTTCACTCTAACATAAATATAAAAACATAAGATACTAGTAAGTGATGAAAAAAAATCCTCTTAGGTATTTTACTCTCTTGTAAAATCCCTTAGAAATTGTTCATAATAAAATTTGGGCAAAATTTTTTTACAGATCACCGAAGAATTTAGATTATTTGATAGCTATTTTTGTGGCATCCACTTCTTAAATAACATGCCTCCAGAAACTCTATGAACTTTGATAAATGTCAATAGTTGTAGAGGGGCTTCAGGCCTTTTGTTCATCAGGTTGCTATGAGTCGTGCTCGACTTGAAGGCAATCAATAACAACAACAATGTTTGTGTTAAACACATTTAGAAAGTGATTCTTAAACTTTCATACTTATAAAGGTTCTAAAGGGTAAATTCAACTGTGTTATGCTTAGATGCAACAGCTGGCCGATCTATAAAACATTTTTAAAAATCAAATAAGGCACAGTTGTTTAAAAAAATGCTCAGTGGCTGACAATAAGATTGGAAGTTTGAACACGTTAACTGCTCTGTGGGAGAAAGATGTGGCAGTCTTCTTCTGTAGAGACTCACAATCTCGGACGGACCCCTGAGTAGGCAGTTGGACTCTTTCCTACACGGTCACTAGGAGTGGGACTCGACCTCCTAATAATGAGTTCAGTTCTTGGTTAACAGAAAACGACACTCTCCAATCTCCAGACAGTCCATTCTAGAGAGAGACCCAAAAGAGAAGAAAATATCCTTGCACCAGTAAATTCCACAAAACAGAAATAGCCAAACTCCCTGCTCCCCCAGGGCTACAGAGCAAATGTTCTAGGCTTTCTGAGCTATGCCGTCTTTATTGCAACTACTCACAGATGCTATTTTAATGTCAAGGCAATCATAAAAAAATAGGTAAAGAATGAAGATCGCCATGTTCCAATAAATCTTCGTTTATGTAAACAGATGGTAGGTTCGGTTTGGCCCATGGCCTGTACTTTGTTAACCCTACTTAACGTAAAACAGCTTGGGTTTCCATCCTATTACTATCTCTGCTCACGCTGGCATTTTCCTGTCTATAATTCACTGTGCCTATCACTGCTTAAGAAAGCTGCTAAGTAAGAAGCAACATTGTACTTTCTTGTGAAAATAAGTTTTTAGGGTACTAAGAATTTGCTCAAAAATAACCAAGACTCTGTGGTTAGATCTCTTCTAATCAGGACGTAGATTGAGGATTAGAAGATGTGGAAACAAAAGTCACAGAAAAACTTCAATAGAGGAGAAAAAGTCGTTATGAATCGAACATAAATGACTGTGCCTTTATCATTATTTCCCTTCTCAGTTTATCCCCTTTCTTTCATTTCAGTGGCCTACGAAAGGAGTGCGATGCAGAACTACGAAAGGAGACGAAAATAATCGCCCTAACTTCCTGTTCATTGAGCTTTTTGTGTCAATGGCCAATGAAAGGAAAAATAAGACATGCACTATGAAGGATTATTATTTATTTCATAACTGCTGTTTGAGTTGAAAATTCAAAAAGTGTTTATTTTTCATATTGTACCAGTATGTGTTGTAAAACAAACAAAAACAACAAAACCCCCAAATGTGTTATCCTAATATGATGACTCCTTCTAAGCTTATAATCAGTGGTTATTTCCCAATAAAGCACAGTATTCAGTAAAATTGTAAAACCTGTCAATGACATCGTTCCTAAGACAGACACAGTGTGGCTTTAACTGAAGAAGTTACATCAGCTCCTGCTGAAAGCAGAGGAAACTGCCTCAACTCTTGTGCTTCCCTATTTGTTTATGTGGTCAACCAGTACTTGAGATTTTGGTATCGAACTATATTTGTATTCCTGAAGCATGTTTCGTGTTTTGAGATTCTATAGAGATGTTTTAAAAGGCTATATTGTGATTTCCAGGTCTTCACTTCATTGTATGGTGTGTTGTGATAGTGTTTTAAATAAAAGAAAAAAATACTTTGAGAAGGTGGTCATTCTTTCATGAAAATCTATGTTAAATAAGAAACTTTTAGTAGATGAAATCTTTAAGACTAAATAACAAAATGAAAGTATACTCAATATCTTTTTCTTAAGGAAAAATGACTAAAATATAATCTCGATCTTTTTTACTCTCTTTTCCTTTCTCTCTCTCTCTCTCTTTACGTGTATCTGCTCTTGGTCTCTCACTGTCTCACACACACACACAAATATAAATACAGAGTTCTTTAGTAAATGGTTTGGTACATGTGCTCTTCGTGGAGCCAACAACCACATTTCAGATCCAAGGGATAAAGGCTAAATTCTAGTTACACATAGCTACAATTTCCTTTTATATCCATTCTAAAATAACATCATCATCTATTTTAAAGATGTATTTCCCTGGTGATTTCATAGTGGAGGAAAATGTCAGCACAGTACTATTTCTATCCTACTTGGAACCTAGCAAACAACATGCTTGCCTAAATCTAACTCAAACTAAAACAACAAACCAAAGCTCTTCAAGGTTGTAAAAAAACAATACAGGAGATAAGAGTTTTACAATGGGATATCACTCCTATAATAACAAAGCCAACAGCACTTACATATTTCTAAGATGTTCTTGTGAGTCAGGGATCCCCATATCAATCTCTAGAAGAAACATTTGTATAAGAAATAAATTATCAGGCCATTTTGGCGACGGGAAGAGCTCGGGTGTGGGGCCGCGGAAGGCGGTGGTGGTGACGGGATAACTTTTCAAAAGGAAAACGTCCGCCCTCTCCGCCTGAAATGGCCAATGTGCTCTGTAACAGAGCCAGGCTGGTCTCCTACCTCCCAGGATTTTGCTCTTTAGTTAAAAGGGTTGTCAGTCCGAGAGCCTTTTCAACTGCAGGATCTTCAGGTTCTGATGAGTCTCATGTAGCCACTGCACCACCAGATATCTGCTCTCGAACAATCTGGCCTGATGAAACTATGGGACCATTTGGACCACAGGATCAGAGGTTCCAACTTCCTGGGAACATGGGCTTTGATTGCCACCTTAATGGGACATCTTCACAGAGGAAAAGCCAGGTTTATAAAACATTGCCTGATGTCCTGGCAGAACCTTTATCAAGTGAAAGACATGAGTTTGTGATGGCACAGTATGTTAATGAATTTCAGGATAATGATACACCTCTTGAACAAGAAGTGCAGAAACTTACTTTGAAAGTGCTAAAGTAGAGTGTGCCATCCAAACATGTCCAGAATTGCTGAGAAGAGATTTTGAATCACTGTTTCCAGAAGTAACAACCAACAAATTAATGGTTTTGACTGTAACACAGAAAACTAACAATGATATGACTACTTGGAGTGAGGAAGTAGAAAATGAGAGAGAAATGCTTTTAGAAAAGTTCATTAATGGTGCTAAGGGAATTTGCTGTGCTCTTTGAGCTGAAGGCTATTGGGCGGACTTTATTGACCCATCATCTGGTTTGGCATTTTTTGGACCATATACCAACAACACACTTTTTGAAACCGATGAACGCTATCGTCATTTAGGATTCTCTGTTGATGATCTTGGCTGCTGTAAAGTGATTCGTCATAGCATCTGGGGTACCCATGCATTTGTAGGTAGCATTTTCACTGATGCAACGCCAGAGAGCCATATTATGAAGAAATTAAGTGGCAACTAGCAGTCTTGACAATGTATTTTACTGTACTGTTGGTACATAAATTTGATCTGTAAACACTAGCAAAAACTGTGGTTTTAAAAACATACATATTTTGAGGTATTTATGTCAGGATTATTAAATTTACAACATTGGCAAATGATTTGTGATTTTTAAATTGCAATTCTTTGATGTTCATATTATCATTGAACACATGTTGAACATAACCACAATGTATAGACTGTGGTGATTAACATGTAAGCAGGATATGAATGAGTTCTTATTTCTTCCCTTGTTGGATAAACCTGTTTTAATTCTTTTTCTCCATAAATAAATCACACATTCAGTTGAAAAAAAAAGAAATAAATTATCAATAATCTTAGAAGTTATCACATAGGATATTTTGTTTTAAATGAGTCATAGATATTTTTGTAGCAAAGAAAAACACAAGCAAGTGGGACCCTCCCCCCACCCCATGATATCTTGTTTCAGTTGGAACATATGCTTAAATCTTCCCTTTTGACCCAAAATCATCATAAATAATAAAAGGTATAAATAAATAAGTTAGAGCTTAGGAGGCCACTATGTAATTAAGAGGAGGGTAAGTGTCCTTGGAAGTGCTTTCTGAAAGCATGGAGAAGTTAACACTGACAAGGGGTGAAAGACCTCAGGATAAACATTGTTTTGTTCTGAACAAATGCTAAATTCATTCAACCTGGATTCATTACTCTTGTTGATTAATGTTGGAGTGTTATGGGCTGGAATAGCTAAAGTATATTTTTACCTTTATATCTTTGAGTACTTTGTTTAAAAACAATACCACCAACAAACTTGTTTTTGTGATTGTGCAATGTATATATATTACCAGTAATATAATGAGAAGGAAAATGTAAAACAATCAAAGTAATCCAGACTCCCTCAGTAATACTGTTGTTGTTACGTGCCTTTGCGTCAAGTCAGAACTCACTCATAACTGACCCTCCAGCGGGTTTAGAGAAGCTGTAAATCCTGTGTAGTGGGGGAACTGGCCGTCTTCTTTCCACAGAGCAGCTGGTAGATGTGAACCAGGTGTCTTTGGGTTGACAGTGCAATTCCTTACCACTAGGCCACTATAACTCTCTACCCCACAACAATAACATGCTGTTAAATAATTATTAGTAGTAATAACAATTATGAGAATAACAGCTAACGTTCTGTTTAATTGCTCAATGAGAAGTATTATCAGTAGTCTCACATAGTGTCATCAAGTCGAAACACACTCATAGCTGATCCTTCAGAAGCTTCTTGGAGGCTGCAAATTGCCTGAGATTGCCCACCCCTTTCCCGCAGAGATGCTGGTGGATTCAAACCACCACAGAGGTGCTACCTTCGAGTTTGTAGTGCAAATTCCTACAAACTACATCACCAGAGCTCTCCATTATCAGTAATAGAGGAAGATCCTCACCAAGATGTATTGACACAATGATTATAACAATAGGCTCAAGTATGTCAGAGATGCTGAGGATGGCACAGGACAGGGCAAGACTGAGACCCATGTTCGTAAGGTCCCTGTGGGTTGTAGTCAACTCAACGGCACCTAACACTAACAACAACAAGAACCAAAAATAAATTCTTGAGAAGAAAGTCAAGCAAATTACTGTCTATCAGTGAGGTTGAGTATGCAAACTGTGGCATAATGATAGAATAAAATTTAAAATTACTTATGATACATTTAATGATATAGAACAACATCTCTGGATGTTAGACACAAAGAACTATCTGTATTTTATATACATGCACATTTATATTTATTCAACAAGAAAGAAGATAGTAGGTGGCTAAGACCGTAGGTTTAAATCACACAGCAGAGGTTTGAATGTTGGCTTCATCACTTAACAGCCATGTGACACTGAGCAAATCCATCAACTTCACGCCTCCCTGGTTTTTGGGGTTTTTTAAAAAAAAATTATTGTTCTTTTTCAGCAAAATTAGAATAATGTGAATATTCACTATTTGGAGCTTTACTCAAGAATTGAGCAAAATTGCAGCAGCTAAGCTTTGATAACAGGCTCCTGCACTAAGCAAGCATTTCTGTGAGCATTAAAGATTGTCATTGTTAGCTTCTTGAATCTCAGCGACAGAACTGACTCTGTGTTTTAACCACTGAAGTGTTTTACCGAAGAAGCAGCATAGGGAGGTGTGCTAATATCTGCCTCACAAATCTAGGGCTGCTTTATAAATTGAGTGAAGTTGTGTGCTGTTCTTCGCTACACTACTTTATCTCCCAGCCTCCTCCAGCTCTAGGAGTCTACCGATCTCTGCAGCAGGATTACCAGTGCTGCATCAGAGAAACTAGCTTTTTCCCCAAACCCAGAATTCTAGCAAAGGCAAGAGCAAGAATAACTGAGAGATCCCAAGGTGATTGAAATTGGCTTGGAGGAGAGAAGGGAGGTCAGGAAATGCAACCCAACCTCACTTTTCTCTCACTGTCTGTCCTCCTGTCGATGCTTCCCACTGAACAAACCAAATGGAAAGCAAGACTAGGAGCCCTTAGTGTTTCCCCACAGAGATGAGCAGTATTTACAGGACAGAGGGCTAGCATGCTGGGAAAGGGGTATAGGGGAGGGAGAAAAGGGAAAATCTCTAATATATCATCTTACTCCATTCTTTAGAAAAAGGAAACATTTTTAGTATAAATGCAAATAGACAATTGTAAAAATAAAAGTTCTTTTCTCAACCCTCAAGTCTACTCCCTAAAGGTATAGTATCACATGGGTTAATCCAGTCCCTCCCCCTTTTTTTTTCTA